TGAAAACGAAGCCCAAACTACGAGAATCAGCCTCGCTGCTACTCAACAACTACACTGGTCACATCGAAACTTCATTGACACAGTGTAATAGCTTACATGTGCGTGTCCCGGAGAGCTCATATGGATAGATATCCATGCTGAGGATGCAAAAATCTGAAAACCCAACTGTCAAGAATTTGATCGGTTTTACAGTACAAACCGATGGATTGTTACCGTTTAAATTCGTTCACGTAGAGCATATTCCGGTCACTTCGTCTTATTCTTCTTCATCATCATCGTCGTCGATCGCTACGAAACTCTCAATGTAAATAAATTAAGTGATAAAGTACAAGATTGGGACGGATTGGGCCTAATTGGAGGGCGGAAAAGAAAGTGAACTTTTACGGCCAACACACAGAGGGAAAAACCTAACTATGCATACGGAAATTTTCAAGCATTCTGGCCTGATAAGAAATGATAACAAGAACGCCACTGCTATCGGTTAGTTGCCAATTCCTTCAGTGTCTCCAACCAACTAGTTGCAAAGTCTTTTGGACCCCAACCCGGAAGACGGGAGACACTTATTCTACCCAATAGCTCTATGCATCTCTTCATGCCTCGTTTCCACGTCACATATTGACTTCCACGTGGTTTCCTTCAACCTAGAGCCAAAACCGCGAACAATGTGCGAAGACTCACCTTGGAGTTGCTTACACGCTCGCTATACCCCATCCGCGCGTAATCACGTAAACATAGACAGTCGAAGACTTCTAGGTGATGAGTATCTTCCACACGCAAATTAATGGTCTCGCGACCATAAAGCAGAACTGACCGCACATTGGCGCAGTTATACATAACCTTTCAGTTTCAACGAAACATCACGTCTGCATCACTTCGTACTTTGAAGGTGTGAAGCGCATGCCGAAAAAATTACAGAACTTGACGAACACCGCTCCTGGTTTCGAAGGATTTGCCTAGCCCACCATAGACTTTTACGCTACCAGAAGTATGCAGGTACAGTGATCGCTATAGGTTTACATACTTCTGCGATATTCTTTTGCGAAGTGGTGAACCCATTAGAGATTCACACCCAATTGAATCAAAGGTTCCTTTTAGGTCAAAGAACACTGCGATTGTCGGTCGACGATGTGTGGCGCAAAGTGAAGATTTGGTCGATGCAACCGCAACCTGGTCGGAATCCTGCTTACTGTTTGCGAATATTAAACCCCCTTAAAGGTGTCAGGAGGCGAGGTATCACAGAAGTTAAGACTTTTGTGATGATCGGAACTAAACTTATCCCGCAGTCGTTGCGTGATCCCTTCTTGACGATCGGAAGGATCAAAGAACCACTCTAGGATAAAGGGACACGTTCCTCCGACCAGGTGCTGCGAAGTAAGCTAGTAATCGAGTCGACAAGAGTTACTACTCGGCTTGAAAAGAATGGGAAGAAGCCCATCGGATCAAGCTACCTTACCAGTGGCGATATTTGTCAAATGTACTTTATTCTACCGACCACATTCGATTTCATCGCAAATGCTAAGTGCTTGTTCAAGACTGGCAGAAGCCTGTGCCTGCACTCACCCTGTGGTGATCAGACAGAAGTAGTTGAAAGCTTTAAGTACCTCGGGAGCTTAATCACATCTGAACGTGATGTTGGGAAAGAGATCACATCACAAACAGTGAAAGCTAGAGCAGCTTTTACCAACATACGACACCTGTGGCAGCGCCAAGATATCGAACTGTCCTTCAAGGGAAGGGTGCATGTCACCGCGGTTCGTAGTGTTCTGCTTTACAGTTGCGAGACCTGGCCCCTCTGCGTTAATGATGCTAATCAACTCTCTGCATTTGACCACCGATGTCTCCGAAGTATTGCTTGTGTCTGGTGGGAACATCGGGTGAGCAACGACGAGGTTCGTCGCTGTGTTGGGTGTGGATAGTAGTTCTGCAAACGAAATAGCCGCTTTATACCGCCCTCGATGGCTTGGTCATCTTTTGCGCATGCCTGCACATCGTCTATCCTTCCGTACTCCGTACGCTGGATTGGAACACCTTTGGCGCTTGCGTCATGTTTCATTCAACTTGAAAGGTAGCGTTCCACCGTGCGGTCAGTTCCGCATTACAGTTAAAATATTGAATTTGCGTGCAATGGATCTGCTAATGGGAGGTTTTTGACCGTCGATAATTGTTTCTTGGCAAGGGTAGGATGGAGCAAGTGAACCAATAACCCGACGATAAGCACTCACGCATCTTGTCGATCTCATTGCAACCTCAATTAGCCTGAATTCCTTATCTTCACACTGATACTGCTTCTAATATTTTACTTCTCGCTCTACTCCTTCATCAAAGAGTAGCTAAAAGAAAGCGAATAAAACAACGCATAAATGTGCATGGTTAATGGTTGTATAAATTGAAAACCATCTAGGTGTGGTGGAACTCCTTGAGTCTCTTAACGGTTGTGTATATATTCTCATTTGCACTGACGATTTTACCCGATTTTACACAAATAAAGTAAAATGGGCAGACCCCACAACCCAAGGACATATACTGTAATTGGGACGATGAGGGGAACATTCAAACTAAAACTAACTTGTTGATTCTGCGTTTAAAGGTAAGGATTTTATAACTTGGAGGGAAGACGGAAAACAGTGAGTTTCTCACGGTTGCTCGTGGTGCTGTGTAATCTACTAACATAATAAAATCTGCTTGGTTAGTGTCACTATACAGAGAAACTTGAGATCGCTTGAGCTCGACTTCAGACGGTGTCTAGTTGACTGATTCTTTTCATTTTGCTTAGTTTCCACGATAAAATCCCAAGGGTACGGGACTTTAGAGATTGGGGGTATCATCCGAATCAGCTTTCTTTAAAAGCAGTCTGGAGTGCTGGGTGGGGCATATCACAAAACCTTCACTACTAGTGTCGTGAGGCACTACTCACATCTGAGTAGTATGCAAAGTAGTGGCGATTTCTTTCAACGATCAAAAATTAACAAGACCAACGAGGGCAAAGAATAACTACCGACTGCTCCATGCATTACCCGGTGTACTGCCAGGAACTGAGATGATGTTTCAAATGAGATTTCTGTTACATGTGTGCTAAATTAACGATACCCTGACTGTCATCTGCAATAAATAACTTCTCTCGACCGAGCACCGCTTTGTGGAAGTATAAAAACTGTAAAAACTGGTGAATTCGCCAAGTTAAAGATCCCATGGAAAGTAGCTTTCGAGGATGTAGAGATGTACGGATGTCCCTGGAAGAGTTCGAGAATGTGGTAGAGCTGGCCGCAAAACGGACGGATCGCGGCATGTTGATGGCCCTAAGAGAGCTTCCATTGAGGCGCATCCGGGAGGTTCTTTCGGACTAGATTCCTGTCACTCGGAAAACGGGGAACGGCTGTTGGGTGTACTCAGACCAGCGCCTATTACTCGCCAGCACCAACTTCAGGTGCTCCAATTACCGGTGCCCATCCTCTTTGAGTCAGCGACGGACGCAGATCGACCACATCGCTATAAGCCACAAATGGCGGTTGCATACAGGACTGCCGATCGTATTGGAGCACTTTCCTCGAATCCTACCACGCGTTAGTTTGCGNTAGTTTGCGCCAAGCTGTCCAAGTGACTCAGTGGGCGTTCTAAACGCACCACAAAACGACGGGAAGACTGTGATAGATTGTCTAAACCAGCACGCCCAACTCTTTCAGAACGCGCTAGCTGAAAAGCTAGAATCAACCCCACCCGATGACGTTAGCCACTGGTCGCTTATCAAGAATGCTCTACATTCTGCTGACTTAGTTGTTTGTGGTCCGACACGTTGTGCCGCGGCACCCGAGATTTTTGTGGAGTCTCTACGCATATATATAT